AGAAAGAAAGAAAGAAAGAAAGAAAGAAAGAAAGAAAGAAAGAAAGATGGAACTATGTTGACCAACTGGGCAGTTCCAGCTGGGTCCCCAGTAGGGCAGCTCCTACTACCACTCACAAAGGTTGTTGTTTGTCCTTCATTCTTAAAGAGAACTTCAGAGAGATGATGTCATGACATGCAAGTGAATTGGATTTAAGTGAGGGAAAGCTATGCAAAGTCACTAGCCTCACTTTCTCCTCCAGAGCCATTGGGGTCCAGTGGCAAGATATAAATTTGACAACTTGAGAAGCCCCTGGATGCAGTGGGAGACCTTGACCTTTTTAAACTAAGGTCTTTAACAGGTCTCAGTTTGACTGAGGCAACACCCATTCAGTGATTAAGGTTAGGTAAGAAATGAGGCAGAGAATGGCCTCTTTTACCTAGTCAAAAAAAAATCAGTCTGAGAAGGGAAGACCCTCAGTGTTTCTGGCCAAAACAGAAAGGATAGCTAATTACATTTACTCTGAGCCACCAGGATCCAAACAATGACCACTAAGTGAGATTTGGGCTAGGACCTATTTTTGCCCAATCAATGAGAGCCAGAGTGAACTGGGTTTAAAGCATGGTCATTAAGAAAGAGGTCTAGCCTGTAAACCCCAAGATATCTGAAGTAAAAGCAACCCCTAATATGAATACCATGGCCTCGTGAGTATTCCATTCACACCAGATCAGAATGAATTCTTTCCCAGGACACGATGAAACAGAGGGGACAAAAAACCCCACAAACAGCCCTCAGGCCTCTGTCTGCTTCTTCAATAAATGAGGAGATAAAAAAAGGAAAGATGGAAAGTACCCTCTTCAGATTATTTATAAACATGAAGTTGTTGGATCTAAGTATCTAAATGTAAGATCCTTGTCCAGTGACTAACAAGTGGACAGGAGGAACTGAATCATTTCAATCTTGACATTTCCAAAGGGTAATGGAGAGGAACATGGTAGACCAGAATAGGTTGCAACCTACTACCCACAAAGATTTCCCCAAGAAAAGTGACATAAAGGATATCATCAGAGAAATATCTGACCGGGAAAGGAAGTGAACTGGTCATTAGTAACAGCTAAAGGTAATGGGTAGATAGATGACCCATGTGCTTCTTTGGTATTCACACCATTTCAAGAGGTCTAATAGGAGGTCCCCTACATTTAGGGTGAACATCCTGTGGAGAATCACAGGAAGACTGAGAGAAGAATCAAATAGGATGAAAAAAGTGGAGATCCTCACCCTTGGAGGGAGTAACGACATTTCTGAGATCACAAATTCACCAAATTATCAAAGGATACCCTTAACGTATAATCTTTAGTCCAGTGATCAATAAATTGAAACTCTTGATAGGTCAGAAAAAGAAACAAACATCAACATCACATTCTTACTACAAATGAATCCAGTGACTGTAACTAAATGCTTCAAAGTATGGCTCACGGGTTCTGTTTGGAAGAGTAAATAAAGGAGTTGGCAATGTTGTTTTAATTGTGTTCCCAAACACAAGAAATGTAATTTTATGGGATACTTGGTAGTGCCCATAAAGAGCAAAAGAAAACAGAACAACAATAAGATACATATAGTTTAGGCATCTTTATAGATATTTATTGCAGAAGATGGAGCCACAGAGGAATTCTTTGGAATATTTTACATGGTCTTCCAAATTGTCTATATATACCTTGGGCTGGTGATCTTGTAAACATGGGCACAGGAATAGGCAGCTAAAAGTATTGAAAAATGGAGTTTGGTATCAGAAAAAAAGAAAGAATCCAAAGACTAGTGGGCTAGTGGGGGTCCTCACACTTTTGTGTCATGAATACTTTCTTTAGGAAAAGTTGTGGCAAGCATGGAATAATATCATGATCCCTCCTCATCTCAGTGAGAGGAATAGTCGTCTTCTCTGTCCACTACAACTATTGTAGTAGACAAGAAGCTATAGATTTATTGATTTGAGAACTGTCAACTTGTTGTATGCAGTCAAATCATTGAGTGAATATAGAAAAAAACAAAGTAAAAAAAACAGTGAAAAGAAAGAATAAAAATGAGAAACAGACATTGCATACGCTTATAGCAACTCCAACCAGACCTGCTTAAATAGATGGTTCTGAAAAACTGGCAATGGACAAAAGAGAAGACATTGACTCTGCTTGTCATTGGTTTTGAGAGGTAGCATGGCACACTAGAGAGACAGTCTTGAAGTCAAGAGGACTGGTTTTAAGTCCATTCTATGACGTGTACCAGCTGTGTGACCACAAGCCAGCAACATACACTCTCAGGCAACATCCAAGATTCTATTACAGAGCAGTTGCTGAGCTATGTTGGTAGAGGGAGTTTTCACACTGGGAGTTCTCTGTACCAAGTAAAATTACAGACCTAGACCATAAAGAAGAAAATTAACAGTATCATCCATCTATTCCTCTAACAACCATTTATTAAGCACCTACTATGTACTTAATAGTACACAGTGCACTGGAGAAAAATATATGTGTATATATATGTGTATACACACACACACACACACACACACACATATATATACATATATATATATATATATATATATGTATAATTCCTGCCCCAGAAAATTACATTCCCTTGGAGGAGGTGGAGGATGGAGGGAGGACAATGTTAATAGGGGTGAAGTAAATACAAAGTAACATCAAAGGAAGGGTATTAATAACTAGGATGATCAAGATAGGTCTTGTGTAGGAGGTGGATCTTGAGATAAACTTTGAAGGAAACTAGGGATTCTACGAACTAGAGATTCTAAATTATAACTAACCCAAAAGGACAGTGCAAAGTTTTTACATGGCAAATGTATTTGCCTGAAAAAATAGCAGCAGCAGCAGTAGTAACAACACCTACCATTTATATAGCTCTTTAAGGTTTACAAAACATGTTACAAATATTATCTTATTTAATCATCATAAGACCTTAAGAGGTAGGTGCTACTATTGTCCTCATTTTACAGATGAAGAAACTGAGGCAGACAGTGACCTACCTAGGGTCATACAGTAAGTGCCTGAGATCAGATTTGATCTTGGGTGTTCCTGACTCCAAGTCTAGCACTCCATCCACTATGCCACCTAGCTGCCCCTGGCACGTTATCAATAATTAATGATGAGCAGGAGAATGGGTGTAAAAGACATCATTTGGGCATATTTAATCAGAAGGACAAGTGAACCAGTCACGCAATAAGAATTAAATCATGTATGATTATTTCAGTCCAAGTACTTCACTAGGTCTGCTAGGGCATTATGGTTGTTTGTCCTTCGTTCTCAAAGAGGACCGTGGCATCAAGGAAAGCCATGCTAGGACTTGCAAGTGAATTAAAAAGAGAACAAAAGAAGTCTCCAGCACATTGGGAAGATCCTTCATTAAGATCTCTACTGGCAAAGGAACCTCCTACATTAATTGAATAACGGATTTAAACCAAGTACCTGCTTTTTCACCTCTCTTATGTTCTGCCCTTCACTTTGTAGTTGTTCAATGGTTTTCCAAATGTGTTCGACTCTGTGACCCTATTTGGGGTTTTCTTTTGCAAAGTTACTGAAGTGGTTTGCCATTTCCTTCTCCAGCTCATTTTTACAGATGAGGAAACTGAGGCAAACAGGATATAGTGACTTGCCCAGAGTCACACAGCTAGAAAGTTTCTGGGGTCAGACTTGAACTCAGGTCTTCCTGATTCCAGGCCGTTAAGGGTTGTTAGGAGGTCCCCAGAACTTGTCTTTTTGAGTTGCTGTATTTTCCAGAAATACTGGACTCTGAGCATGCAGGAGGCCCTGAATGTGTCAAGGATGAAGTCCCTCCCAAGCTGATATAATTTGTTGTTGCACCCCAAGCTGGACTCCTGATGCGTCCTTGGGAGTCTGTGCCAGGCTGGGATGATGCTTGTGCAGCTGGGTTCCTTCGCAGATAAGTGGATCCTCCTGTCTTCATTGCCTAGCAGTTCCCAAGGGGAAAAAAACGAGACTTTTGCCATCACCTTGCTCCTTCCTGCAGGGATAGTCTTGTCTTTTTTCTCACCTTTGCTGCACTGTTTCCCCTCCTTTCTGGTATGCCTTCCTCCCTTTGTCCTGCTATTATAAAAAATGTAAACTTCTGTAAAGACCGGGAACCCTTTGGGTTCCACATGCATGTTCAATTCGCTTGTAATAAGCCTGGTTTTCACATGTCTTTGTGTCATTTTGATCGCCTGTTAACAAAGCCCAGCACTCTATCCAATGTGCCACCTACCTGACCTTTCTGCTACTAATGAACTAAACCATATTACAGATTTCTGAGTGCTATAAAATATATCTTTTGTATGATATGGAATTTCCTAGAGACAGTAGTCTTTGACCAGTGCTAAGTAGCCTTTCACAAATAGCATGTCAAAATGCCAACCTACTGCATTTTAATTCCACAAATACCTGGTAAGTGCTTACCAGGTATAAGGCACTGTCACAGACACTGGGGATACAAAGACAAAAATAAAACAGTCCCTACCCTCAAGGAGCTTACGTTCTACTGTTCTTCTGTAGGACTGTGAGTGAGAAATGATGACACTGTAGACATTTTTAAACAAAGAATAAGTTTAAATTGGATAATGACCATATGCCAATTCTTGAAACTAGCAGGGAAGAGGACTCAACGGCAGTGATCCACCCTAGAACTTTAGATATGTAGCGATTTTCACTGTTTTTTCCTTTTCTTGTATTCCCAGTGGTTAGCACAGTGCCTGGCACACAGTAAGCCCTTAATAAATGCTTGGGGTTTTTGTTGTTGTCATTGTCAATGATTTTATCTTTAATCTTTCAGGTCTGGATGCATCTCAAGATTACTTTCTATTATTTCTAAACAGTGTTTCCCAGATGTGACTTAAGCCTTAACTTTTCAATGATCATTTTGATAAGACCACCATGTTCTTATATTGCTTCCTCTTTATTCCCACTCTCAGATCCCTCTGCATTATGCTATAGTGACTAATGAGAGAAACAGAGACTGAAAGAGACAGAGAACAGAGAGAGAGACAGACTGAGAGCTGGAGATCCAGTTAGAGACCTAGAGAGAGAATGACAGAAATAAAGAAAGGCAAAAAAGAAAAAGAGATAAGGAGGTAAAGCAGAAAGACAGAGATAGAGACAGAGATAGAAACAAAATGGAGAGAGACAAGACAGAAAAAGAAACAACAACAAAGGGAAAAGTAATGAGAAAGACAAAGAAGACAGAGAGAAAGACACACAGAGGCAGAAAGAGGACGAGTAAGGGTTAAAAATGGAGAGATGAAGGAAAGGATAGAGAAAATGAAGCCATAAATATGATCATAAATATTAGGGGATGCCTGAATGATGATCAATTCTGTAGACTGTGCCCTGGATAAACACTGCCACCTGATGGCCTTGACAAGTGTGATTATCCTGCAGATTGGAATTTATTTAAAAAGCACAGTGGGGTAGGGAGTGTTTTCTATGCAAGTTTCTTTGAAAAATGTGGGAGGGTACAGGGCTGGTGGAAATTACTACCTTTCATATACCTGGACACGGGTACTAGGAGTTCCCACAACTGGAAATGAGTAAAAGTGAGCTTTTAAGTAGACAGAAGAACATTTTCTTTGTACCAAAGAGACCAGAGAATTTGATGAAGCAGCTGTTAATAGAGGCTCCTGAATCTCTTCTGAATGTTCCCATTACAAATGTCAATAGATTGAGAGGCAACAAAAGAAACTAACAGAGAACAATTTTCTTTTCCCATTTGGATCAACCATTCAAGTATTTATTGGGCTTTGCTGTACATTTAGCCCTTTGCTAGGCAATGTGGGGTGTACAGAAGTGGTATATAGCAGGCTTTGGATATAAAAGACAAGACAAGACCTACTCACATGGTAATTTTTTTTAACATTTGAATTTCTTATTTATTTTTAACATTCTTTTCTTTTTAAATTTTGGGTTCTAAATTCTCCTTTTCCTTCCCACCACTTAGCGCATCCACATCCACTGAGAAGTCAAGCAATATATCAATTAAACATGTGAAATCACTCTTAATAAAATTAAAGAATAATAATACAGGCCAATATGAAATGTGATCCATTGGTATGGACTGTTAGCAATTAATGTGAAGTATTATGAAGGAGAAAGCTAAAGGATAATGGGGGAAGGTATCTCATTTTAAATCCAACTGTAGGCTACTAAGTTTCTGGGGCTTCAAAGGGATTTAGGCAAAGGATTAATATTGAATCTAATTCAACAAACTTAGTTTCAATGATTCAAAATTAATAAAGGAAAAAATGAGCAATTCCCTACTCCTTTATACCAGGAAAAATATAAAACCGACATACCAAAAAATATGATTTTTTTTCAGCTCTGCATCTCTATACTCATCAAAGTTTCCAGATGGCAAAGCAATAGATAGATATTTGTATACAGGAAGCATGTGTATTGTATGTAAAACTTACTTCCTTACCACGCTTAGATAGTACACAGACATCCGGACAGGATCTTCTGATTGGGGCATTCTAGTCTCCTGATCAGTAATGACAGTCCTCACATTTCTGTGGCTAGCTGGCTCCATGCCTTTTCACTGGCCTTACTCTAAAACTGGGCTTGGTCCTAGTGAATTGGAAAATGTCATCCTAGGTAGTAGAAGTGCTCTTATCTGGCTGACTGATTTAACATTTTCATGGTTCAATTAGGCTGTCCATGGGACATCAAGTTCTACCAAGTTATCTCTCAGGCCAGTACAAACATTGATTAGTCTTACTCAGAGAATCAGAGAGTTATCTAAGTCATAACATTTATTTTCCCTAGGGAGGGGCTGAAAACAGTAGTGTTCTGAGCACGGAGCATCTTCATTTCTCCTATTTCCTGCCAGTCACCATTGCCAAATCTGAAAATACTCCTGCTTCATCTGAATAATGTTGTGTTGGATAATGAAACTGTGGCTTATCTCTCTCCTTCAGCACTGGCACTCCTGAGAAGAGCAGAGAAGTAGAAAATTGAATTCAAATCAATCTGAAAGATTTATGAGACCTAGAGAATGAAGTCAACGTTTGCTGAGGTGAATCATGATTAGTTTTCCCTATAACGTAAGAGGAAACTAAAGAAGGAAAACATGTCATAGAAACAGAATATTAGAGTTGGGAGAGACCTCAAAGATCATCTAGTCCAATCTTCTACCTGTAGAAGCTATAGAGGAAAGAGAGAAAGAAGGAAAGAAAGAAAGAGAGAAAGAAAGAAAGAGAAAGGAAGGAAGGAAGGGAAGAAAGAAGGAAGAGAGAAGGAAAGAAGGAAGGAAAAAATAAAAAGAGAAAAAGAAAAGAAAAGAAAAGAAAAGGAAGGAAGGCAGAGAGAGAAAGAAGGAAGTAAGGAAAGAGAAAAAAGGAAAAGAAAGAAAAGAAGGAAGGAAAGAAGGTAGAAAATCTAAGTCCTGACCACACATAAAATCATAGAATATTAGAGGTCAAAGCAAGTTCAAAGCTGTAGCCAGCTCATACCTATAAATTTTCAGTGTGGGCATTTACAAGACAGAAATTGGCAAATAAATTGGGGCTTAATTTATCATTTGTTGACTGTCTAGACTTAATAAAAATAAATGTTAATTCAGATTAAACTTGAAAGTGTGTCCTGCGTACTTTTCTTCTTCTTCTGGAGAACCTGTTATTAAACATTTCCCTGCATACCCTTGATTCAAAGAGACCTCAGAGGTCACGGACTCTCACCTGTTACTGAACGAGAGTCCTCTCTACGACATCCAGCTGATGCCTGAAGATTTCTAGAGAAAAGGAGCCCAGTGTTCCACTTTTGGATATCTCTGATGATTTAGAAGTTTTTCCCCTTAATGTGAGGCCTAAATATGTCTCTGCAAATTCCTCCTATGGTTCTTAGTTCTTCTCTCTAAGGCCATGCAAAGCAAGTACCACCAACATGACAGCCATTTTTCAAGTACTAGAAAACCAGCACAGCACATCGCCTGGCACATAGTTAATAAATAAATGTTTATTAATTGAATAGCTATCAGATACTCTTTTTCTTTTTTCTTCTGTCTTCTCCAAGCTGAAGAGCATCTCTTTCTTCAACTAATCTTTACATGTCATGAATTCAAGGCTCTTCCCCGTCCTCATTAGCCTCCTTTTGCTGTCATTCAGTTTATCAAAGCCCTTCCAAAACCCAACACAATACTGCAGTTGTGGTCCTGAGTTCAGAAGTACCATTGTTTTTGGAGTCACAATATTGTCTCTTTGGACATACTTATTAGATGTTCATTCATTGAACTTGTGGTCCACTAAAAACCCAGATCTCTTTCAGATTAACTTCTTTTCAGGCATGTCTCTCTTATCTTATACTTGTGACATTAAATTTGTGAACCCAATAATTCATTATTCAACAATTGTGCTTATCAATATTAAATTTCATGAAATTAGAGGAAATTCATCTCATTAGAAACATCCTGATCTGTCAAGTTGTTTTGGAATCCTGACTAAGCAATAATAATCAGTCACAATCATTAGCATTTATATTTGTTCAGTTGTGCTCAACTCTTTGTGACCCCATTTAGGGTTTTCTTGGCAAAGATAATGAAGTGATTTACCATTTCCTTCTCCAGATCCTTTTACAAATGAGGAAACTAAGGCCAACATGGTTAAATAACTTGCCCAAGGTCACATAGCTAGTACAGTCAGGATTCGAACACAAATTTTCCTGACTTCCAGGCCCAGTGCTCTATCCACTGCACCACCTACCTGCTCATCAGTCAATAACATTATAGCCTAAATCAGGCCAGAAGCAGATGGTGGTACAGTGGATAGAATTCTGTTCCTGGAGTTAGGAAGACCTGAGTTCAAATCTTACCTCAGGTACTTACTAGCATATTATTATTCTACATGATGATAATGATGCTGATAACTCAGTGAGTTTAAATGATTTTCACATGATCATCAGGTTTGGAGCCATGACAAAAACTTTTATTTGGATGATTAAAAAAAACTTTCATTTTACCTTTTCAAAGGCCTTTTATAGTCAGTGAGCTCATCAAACATTTAGTTGCAGTATTGGGGTGAGGGAGGGGGATGATAAGGGTGGGGTTCGTAGAATTCTTTTAAAACTAAAGAGATCTAGGTTCATTGAACTCATCACTTCTTACAGCACAGTAGTACTCCATCAC